CAATAAGATAACATTAAAATATGTACATATATGAAATTGTCAATATTTTAAAAAGAGAATTATAAAAATAAATTTTATATTTTAGTTATAAAATTAAATCGTGCAATTTTTATTTTTATTATATATGTCATAATTAATATAACCACCCAGCTCCCTAAAATATGTATAAATATGGAAATGTTAGTTATGCTATGATTGACTAGTGATAAATTACCAATATTGGCACTTAGTGAAAATAATTTGTAAATACGCCACTGTTTATTATGTATATTTATCATTTAGTTTACAAGACGATGTCTATACTATCGAAATCGAATTAATATCTCCGTTGAAAATTCGTATCGACTAAACTTTGTTTCTTTTAAACAACGATTATAAGAAAACGTTTTACAATTATAAACATTCAAAAACACTTTTTTTAAAATTTCAATTGCTGTTTAGAATTTTTGAAACCCCATTGAAAGTAATGTATATACGAATGAATAACAAAATTATCAAGATAAAACTTGCTGGATTTTATATTTGTGAAAATAATGGTAGCTATATTATGTAAGCTACCTATAAATTATACTATAGTACTTACTAACATGTAAAAAAATATTATACAGTTGTGTTTAAATTAGTAATGGGTGGATCACAATGTTGTAATAAAATTCCTGAAATAATCCTATGTTGGCCATTTATATAATTATTTGCGATATATGTTTTTTCTGAAAGTATAAGACAGACGGACTCATGAAATTTGAAGTGCATCGGTATGTATTGGTACAGTTTCCATTTAGCAAATCTTTCTTGGATTGGTATTTTTATTTTTATTACAATTTTTGTTTTTGAAAATTGACACTCAGCTATAGGTAAATTATAATACGCGGAAAGATATTCCCACGGAATGGTCAGTTCGTACCCATTTTTAGATTCTGAGTGAAACGATGAATGTATTGATTTTACAATGATGTGTGTTTTTTTTAAAATTTTTTAAATTTTTTTTTGTGTCTGTGTACACGATAAGTAGTCGAAATAATGCTTCGATTTTCGACTTCAGTATCTTGTTCGATTGGAAAATTAATATCGTTGGTGCATTGAGGAGGTCAAATTTTAAAATTCCCAGTAGTTTTCAAAAGCGCCTTGAAAAACAAAAGAAAAATTAAGGAAAAACGGGAATTTTTACGCAAAATCTGTTTTCGAGAAAATCGATTTTGGTTTTTGGTGTAACTTTAAAACAAATGACCGTAGATACATGAATTTTTCACTGGTTGTTTATATTTGCATTTTCTATACACTATAACATTTTCAAAATATTTTGATTTATTTTGAACTATTTAGGGACATTTTAATTTTTAATATTTTTTTCTAAAAATATCAATAAAATTTAATTTGTACAGACCATTTCAGAGCATTTCATATAATTAAACGTTATTAAAATTAAATAAAGAATATTATTTTGAGCCAAAGTAATTTAAGCTCGTTTTATTTTATTTGTGCGGAATCGCCAAGTGCGCGTCCATAACACCAGCATGAATAAAATAATGTAAATACAATAAATATTTTTTCAAAAATGTTGGTTTGTATGCGTTAAATATTTTGTGGTGAAACCGATTTTGAGCCTGTAGGCTGTAATCACCCAGTAATTTTAAAATATGGTAAATATTTTGGGTTAGCCGTGAGTTTGTGGATAAAAATTGTGAAATCTCCCTATAAAATTTAATATTTTTAATAATAAATAATAATAATAAATAATAAATATTTTTGTGTGAGCGGCAAATAGGTGGACGATGAGTGGGTAATCTCCCCGTGATGTGCAATATGGTAAAATCAGTGTCCTCTAATAGGCAGACATTCCCACTTGAACATGGTGTAATTAACGCTGAAAAAAACGTCTGTGAAAATAAACTGTATTCTACTAATAGTAGGTACCTACTTTACAAATAGAACTAATAAGTAATTTTTTAGTATAGCACTATTTAGCCTTCACCCATGTTCCGTAATTTTTAATACGTATTTACATTTTTGATAAGTCGTAGGTCTATCCTTCTCGTGATTCAGATGTGGTACTATCGTATATGCTTCATTCTTGAGGTAGAGCCTATATACTGTACTTATAGTACGAGTAGTACCTACCACCTACTGACTACTCAGTAGTTCTCACTACTCTTAGTTTTTACATCATATACATATGGTAACAGTGGCGTATACAAGCATAACTTTGATACATTCGGTATTGCGGTGTGATGAAAAATGCGTTTATGAAAAATCATTTTAGGTGCGATAGGTACTCATAATATTATTAAAAATACGTACATTCGCCACCTCACTAGTACACTTTTCCCAATGCTGCATTTGTTATAAATGACTTGCAAATTAACAACTTAGCAAATTTGCTTTTGACCATATCAATTTCATGTTTAAAGCATTATAGTAACTAGGAAATTTGGGTGTATGCGGACATGTGCGCCCCATGTTTAAAATGTGCAGCCCCAAAAAATAAAAGCTTTTTTCTATTATATTTTGTTCATTTTGAATTAAAAATTATCAATAAATACAAAAATGTTGTACTATATATCTATAGGTACTGAAAATATAACATAATTGGTATACTTCGCTATAATTAAGTTCCCAGCTATAACATAATATAACGAAATTATCTTTAGCACATTTAATGTTGTATAGAATAGGTCACAGATACGTATAATATATAATAATATTATATTACAAAATCACGAAATACAGCTTTTAAAAAAGAGTAACGGTATTTTTCATTATCAAGTAAACAGTTAAACTGCGTTGTTTAACAATTTTTTACAATTGTATTATATGTATATATTTATATATAATATATCCGTTTTAAGGGGGTATGAGTACCATAAATATTAAATCAATACTGTTTTTTGGGATATTATACAAAACCTACACTTTTCAACGATGGAGCCCATGCTTAAATGAGATGGATTAGGCTAGATAGATAGGATATTTTTGTTAGAACAGCGTTTTACAGAAAATTAAAAATTAATTTAGTTCATTTACAATAGGTACTTAAAATATATAATGCATATTAATATTATGCACTCTATGAAATTTAAAATACCTACCCATTTAATAACATTACCTTAGGTTATAGTAATATTTACTTTTTTAATATTTGTATTTTGTTATATAACCGTTGTTACTGAATAGGTAGGTAATTATTTGAACATTTATTTACGTGACATCACTAGCATTTTTAACTTGATAAATTAATTACACTTATAGAAATTCACTAAAATTCTAAGGCATTATTAAAATAAAATATCACTATTACACAACAATCACTTGTGGTAATAATTTGAGACCATGCGGTAATTAATTTCAAAATACTTTGAATATTTTAGATTTTGTCCCCAGAGGACAATTTGATCCGGTGGGGACAATTTGATCCGCTTAGAACAATTTATTTTTCAAGAAAACGGATCAAAATATCCCCCAAATGATCAATTTGTCCCCAGAGGATCAAAATGTCCCCGGATCAGTATGTCCCCATACCGGATCACGTGACTTTTAAATTCTTATCGTTTTTCCGTTTGCCATGCGATAAGTGATACCATTTATTTGATTGCGAGTTGAGACCACGAACTAAGATATACAGGACTGGTAACGACTCTAGATATTGCGGTCGGGTACTCTTGCTGAAGTGTACCTTGGTGTATGTGGCGCACTCTGTCGGTTTACTAATAGCGTTTTCGATTTGACGCACTTTTTGCACTGAGTGCATAAACGTATTCGATTTGACCAATATTTTGTGAACTGGCGGAGTGTTTTGTATTCGATTTGATTGCAGTGCAACACTCGTTTGCACTTTCTGCACCGCCGATTTTGTCAGTGAAATAAGTGCACTTTATAATTATGAACCGCTTTTCTCAATAAAATGTATATAATTTAATTTTGTTAAAATATTATTTTCCAATTTCCATTTTCCTGGCACAGGTGGCACAACAATCAAAATACAAACTTACAAATATCTAAATATAACTGACTATCATGTTATTATTATTATTTAATAAAATAGTTTTGCACATAACCTTAAAAAGCCTCATATCGTCTTTCTCTCTTTACGTTCTCTCTTCCCCAAAAAAGCACGTTTTCATAATATGGAACTGGTATAGGCATGTTTATACTACTCTACATCAGCATTGTTTACCTCAGAGCCTAAGTTTTCAGAGCCATAATATGTCCTTTTAATGTCTTCAGTTTTAAAATGTTTGGCACATACAAATTTGACATTAGTTTCTCTATTGTTAACAGCACAAACTACATTAATCCACTGAGATTTTAAGTAGTCATCTTTTGGTACTGAAAATAATGTTATACTTTCAGGTGTCACTTTGGAATTGCGAGTTGAACAATTTATAACGCTACATAATCGACCCATTGTAAATAAATATATTATAATTTTAAAATATTTTACTAAATAATATACTAAGCAGCTTAGATACATTAACTAAGATGTAGTAAGATGACTAGTAAAATGTACTCTAAAATCTATGTCATAATTGTATTTTATTCTTAAAATAAATGTAGAACTTTGTAGTTACTACTGATGTTAATAGATGGCGCTTTATTCACAAATGCACCGACGAGCAAGATTTTCTGACCGCATCACCCACCCCCTCCGCCCAATAGTGTTCAGTCCTGTATATCTTAGTTCGTGGTTGAGACAACTATTGCAGTTGATAATACTATCTCAGGATTTAAATCGTGGTCTCTACACTAATTTCATAGATTAGAATACCGCCTCATGGCTCACACATGTCAAAGTAAATTTTATATATTTTGACACCAGCAGTGACTAGTGAGCACACGTCGTAAGTCGTAACACTGAATTGAGAGTTTGGGACGTTGGATTATGATTCGACAGCATATAATAATTTTAGCATACAGATTTTAATACAGAGGTAAACCGAAATTCAAATATCATTCGATCCGGCCTGTGGAACATTTGAAATAGAAATTCTTTTGGTGTAACGAACATGGTTAAGGAACAATACAGGGACACGGATGGGTCGCGTATTATGTGAGTAATTTAAAACTTCGGCTGTTGGTTTACCAGTACCTATGACTGAACTACAGTCTTGTAAAGTATTCGAATAAATGTAATCAAATAAAAGTTTTTGAATAGGTACTATTTTAAATACTTTTTGAAAAAATTATTCGAATACGTATTCTGAGACGGTGACGTATATATGGGGGGTTTAGGGTTCAACCCCCTCCTCCCCCAAATTCATTTCTATATACGCTTCTTATTCTGAATAATTTTTTTGTATTTTTTTATTCATCAAAAATACTTTTTTTGTACTCGAAAAATAGTTTTATTTATGACAAATCGAATTTTTCTATTAAAAAACGGGCACATTAAAAGTTATGAACAATGGTTTTTCTCTTTGAATGAAATATGATTTACCCACGTTAATTATAACCATATTAAAACTGACTATTACTAGACTGGAAAAAAAAATATATTTTAATAGTATTCGAATAAATTTTCAAGTATTTGAATATTTATTCAGAATATATTTTTCTAAATGTATTTGAATACCTATTCGGAATACTTTAATCCTCATTTATTAGAATACAAAATAAAAGTATTCCTCACAAGACTACTAAACTACCTACGAGTGACATCTTAAAATAGATTCCGTGTTTTAGATCGAAGATCAGCTTTACCGTCGACAATCCTCAAGATATCCAGAGGAAGTCACATTTGTGCATAAATACAAGAAATCTATATGCCATAAACATTAACAATGCTTCACGTACACCACATCCGTATGGAGTGCTCGATCACAAATTGGTGAGTTTATAGTAAATTATTTAGCCATGATTTATTTATTTATTATTTCCCTATTGGCCTTATGGTCTCTAATAAATAATAATATTTTATCCCTTTTAAGTTGTCTTTAATCTTTTCTGTGTACAGGGAGTTAACCAAAAGGACGCGACATGTATGACTTGTAACAAGGGATTGAACGATTGTCCAGGACATTTGGGCTTCATAGACCTACAATTACCAGTTTTCCATGTTGGATTCTTCAGTTCAGTTATAACAATATTACAGACAATTTGTAAAGTAAGCCAATCCATCAATATATTCCTCATTACTTCATACAATTTTACTTTTTTATACAATTCTACCAACTATTCATTTCAGAATCCTTTTTGTGCTAAAGTGTTATTAAATGAAGAAGATCGAATGTTTTTTTATACAAAGTTGAGAAACAAGAATTTAACATACACAATGCGCAAAAAAGTTTTTAAAGAAGTCCACGCCAAGGCAAAAAAAGTGCAGATATGTCCGTTTTGTAGTGACATTGTGGGACAAGTGAAAAAAAATGGTATATTAAAAATATCATATGATCGTTACAGGTATAAAAAACCTGGCACAGAAGCTGAAAGTAAATTATGTAAGTATACGTATTATTATTTATTATTAATGCAATATGAATAGTTGTATATTATAATTTTATTGATTTATTTATTTATAAATCAACGGGTAAATACCCTTTTGTTAAATAATATAATGGGTAAACAAGTGAACAAATGAGCAAAAATACAGAATAGATGCAATAATTAAATAATGATAATTATTTCTAATGAAAATTAATTAGGTGCTTTGAACGATGTGGTAAAATATAACAAAGAAGTTGAAACCATGAGAAATTATCTATTTAATGAGAACCTTAATCCTCAAGAAGTATTGCGTCTATTGTTATCCATACCTTATGAAGACATTATATTGTTGGGTATGAATCCTGAGGTATCAAATCCTGGATGGTTGTTAATGACAAGAATGTTAGTACCCCCAAATTGTATTCGTCCTTCAGCTGTTTCTGATATACGATCCGGAACGTAAGTGTAGTATTATTATAATGAAACTGTGAAACATAATGTTTATGCTCGAAATTGTCAATTGGTTCTAATATTAATGTAATTTAATGTTTAGAAATGAAGATGACTTAACACTGAAATTATCAGAAGTTTTATTCATAAATGATGTGATTGTAAAACACAAACAGTCTGGAGCAAAACCCCAGTTATTGCACGAAGACTGGGAATACTTGCAGTTACATTGTGCCTTATATATTAATAGTGATTTATCTGGTGTTTCACGTACAATGATGGTAAGTATTAAATAACATAAAATATCTTAATAAAATTATTTTTATAAAATATCTATTGTAATATTATTTGTTTAGCCAAAAAAAATTGCTAAAGGTTGTGTTCAGCGTTTGAAAGGAAAACATGGACGGTTTCGTGGTAATTTATCTGGTAAAAGAGTAGACTTTACAGCACGTTCTGTCATTTCACCAGATCCAAATCTTCGAATTGACGAAGTAAAAATTAAAAATAACAAGAACTATTTTACAATACAAATTCTATTTCTTTATTGGTCTTTTAGGTTGGTGTTCCAGTTCGAATGGCCAAAATTTTAACATATCCTCAAAAAGTATGTCTAGCTAACATTGAATTAATGCGTAAGCTGGTGATGAACGGTCCTGACATTCATCCTGGTGCTAATTTTGTTGAACTTCAAGGTTCTAAGTTGAAAAAATACTTGAGATTTGGAAATAGACCGGCTATAGCAAAAGATTTAAAAGTCAGTGTTTTTTTATAAAATTCCTATATTTTTATTTTAGCAAATTTAAAATAAAATAAATAATATGTATGTATTAAATATAATTTTAACAGTAGCTAACTAGCCAAGTGCCACCATAAAAAAAAACAGTCCTATTGTTATTCATTACATAATATGTACCTATAGTATGATATATTATATATTAATATTAATATAATGTAAAACCTAACTACTTTAATTTAATCCTTTACTTCATTTTCCTACATTTAAATTAAGTAAATAACATTAACTGACTATTTTTACTGACTTACACTTTATTTTATTATGTAGGAAAAACTATAAATTAATTAATATTTCATTTAGATTGGAGATATTGTTGAAAGACATTTATCTGATGGTGATATTGTATTATTCAACCGACAGCCCAGTCTTCATAGATTAAGTATTATGTGTCATCGTGCTAAAGTTTTAGAACATAATACATTAAGGTTTGTTTAAGCTCTTTGCTTGTTTTTTATACTGGACTATAAATATACATTTTTAGATTTAACGAATGTGTATGTACTCCTTATAATGCTGATTTTGATGGTGATGAAATGAACTTACATTTGCCACAAACTGAAGAAGCTAGAGCTGAAGCTGCTTTGTTAATGATTGTTAGTATTAAATCAAAATATTGGTTATGTTTTATTGATTTTATTTTTAGAATTAAAATGAATTAACTTTAATTTTACTATAGAACAAATCAAATCTTGTCACACCAAGAAATGGAGATATTCTCATTGCTGCTACCCAAGACTTTATTACCGGAGCATATTTATTAACACATAAGAATACATTTCTTAACCAGAGAGATTCTAGTAAACTAATTGGTTGGCTAATGTCTGGTGATGATATTAATATTGATTTAACACTTCCGCGTCCTGCTATTCTAAAGGTTTATTACAATTACTTATCATTCATAATTTTAAAATATGCAATATTTACAAACTGTGTATTGTTAGCCTCACAAACTTTGGACTGGAAAGCAAATATTAAGTATAATCATGAGACCAAGTAAAAAATGTCAGGTGAAAGCTAATTTGCGGTGTAAAGGAAAATCATATACTCGTGATGAAGAATTTTGCTTTAAAGATTCATGCAAGTTAAACGATTAACATAATTTAAAATAAGTACTATATTTATTATTTTTTAATTTTTAATATTTATTTTTTTATAGATGTTTACATAAGGAATTCTGAGTTATTGGCTGGTACTATGGATAAGGCAACATTAGGTTCAGGTAGTAAATCAAACATATTCTATGTGTTGTTGGCCGATTGGGGTTCTGATGTCTGCTGCAAAGTGATGTGGCGTTTAACCCGCCTTACGTCATACTTTTTAATGTTAAGAGGGTTTTCAATTGGCATTGGTGATGTTACACCTAGTGATGATTTGCTGCAATCTAAAAATGAATTGGTTATAAATGGGTTAGGAATTATATACTAAATTATTTGTTTCTCTGTTAAATAATGTTTTATTTTCCTAAATCATTAAATTAATATTTATTTATTTCATCAAATAGAAATGCGCTATGTGAGGAAAATATCCGTTTGAGAAATTCAAAAGAATTGAAATGTCAACCCGGTTGTAATATGGACGAAACTTTGGAGGCAAATATTTTGAAGCAACTGTCTGGCATTCGAGATTCTGTTGGTAAAGCTTGTTTATTAGAGCTTCATTTTACCAATGGTCCATTGGTCATGGCACTCTCAGGTTCTAAAGGTAGGAATAGATTGTGTATTTATTATATTCAAATTAAAAATTAAATTACTCTTTCCTATTTAATGTAATTTAGGATCCAATATTAATATATCTCAGATGATTGCATGTGTGGGTCAACAAGCCTTAAGTGGACATCGTGTTCCAGATGGATTTGAGTCTAGATCATTACCACATTTTAAACAATTTTGTAAGTGTGGTTCTTCTAATTTAACCTTGAATTGTATTGATTATAAAAACAAATATTTTATAATTGTTTTTAGCAAAAACTCCAGAAGCCAAAGGATTTGTCGAGAACAGTTTTTATTCAGGTCTAACTCCAACAGAATTTTTCTTTCACACAATGGGTGGTCGTGAAGGTCTTGTGGATACAGCTGTAAAAACAGCTGAAACCGGGTACATGCAACGTCGGCTTGTCAAGGTATAACTGATTTATTTTATATTTCTAATATTTACAATTTTAAATAAGTAATTATTACACATTATAAATATTGTTAATTATTAGTCTTTAGAAGATCTGTGTGTCCATTATGACAACACTGTACGTAATGCTTTTGGAGATGTCATACAATTTGAATTTGGGGGTGACAGCTTGGATCCTACTTACACAGAAGGTAAAAACTTAAATGATTTTATTGTTCTCAATTTCTTTTTCGATGCACTTTCATGTTATTATAGATAATGTTTATAATATCTAAATATTGTTATATTGTTATATTGTTATATCATAGTAGGTATAATGCCAAATTGTATAGTTTTCTTTAATCCTGTTAATACTTTTTCATTAGTTGCTATATAAATCTATTAACTCAAAGTTAATTACAATAGCACCAAGTTAAAAAGAATTCTAACTTTCTTTTTTCTACTTAATTCATAGTAACTGAACCTTATATTTCATATATTATCTTTTTCTCTGTTATTTAATATCAGATTATTAAATTTGTGATCACTAATCATTAATTTATTAATTTTTTTTATTATTAGGCTAATTTTCTTCAACAATCATCTAACTCCACTTTGACTAACTAGGTTCTTTTTCTTATTTGTTTACAGTAAGACAAGAATTTGATTTATTTTACCCAACTAATTTTGGTTTTTATCCTAATAATTAGTACTTTTGTTCTTTAGGATAAACTATTATGACATCTAAGTGATCAACCTAAGTCTATTCAATTCTCTTTTTATATTTGTATTAATTATTCAGTAATGGTGATAATTAAAAAAAAAAAAAAAAACATAAAACTCATTATGACATAATAATATTATGTATATGTATTATATTGAATAGTTATCCAAAATATAATATAATTTATATAAATAGGAATATTTTAATTTTTGTATAATCCACTGATTAACTATGAAATAATTGATTACATTTTATAAACAATAATTAATTTTTAGGTGATGGTGTCCCTGTTGATTTCAAACGTGTATATTTCAATGTGACGGCTAATTACCCATGCACTGATGAATGCACATTAGATTCAGAAGAAATATTGAAAATTACTGAAGATGTGTTATTATCTGAGAATTTTCAAAATGTAAATACTATCTTCACAGAAGAATTGAGGTAATATTAGAAACATAAGATAATGATTAAACATATTATGTATCTCTTATTTAATTAATGTTTTCAATAGAAATTTTGGAAAAAGTTTATCAAATAATATGGCGGAATTAAGAAAAAAATGGTTGAATTTAGAGGTTTCAAAAATTCAACGAATTACTTCTACACAGCTTATAAAATTTTATGTGACTTGCCTTTCCAAGTATTTGGCTGCTGTTATTGAACCAGGTACAATCGTAATAATTAATAATACTTGATATTCACTTATGAACAGTTCTCAAAAACAAATTTTTATATTTATAGGAACTCCTGTTGGTGCTATAGCAGCTCAAAGTATTGGTGAACCTGGTACACAAATGACATTAAAAACCTTTCACTTTGCTGGTGTTGCTTCAATGAATATTACTCAAGGTGTTCCAAGGTAGTAAAAAAAAAATAGTTTTTTATTTTGAATTGAGGAGTGCTTGCATGTATCTTATAATTATTCATTTAGTTCTTACTATTCACTTAATATTTTGAATAATATTGTACTTCCTGGTTTGTTCGTTTTTTTATTTGAGTTATTTTAACAATGTTTAATACTTATAATACTGTGTACATTTTTATTAATAAATTGTATAAAATTTTTTCAGAATCAAAGAAATAATTAACTCAAGTAAAAATATAAGTACTCCTATTATCACAGCATACTTAGAAAATGACAAAGACAAAGAATTTGCTAGGATTGTCAAAGCTCGTATTGAACAAACAACACTTACTGAAGTAAAATAAAATATTAGTTAATATGTCATTAAATATTAATTTATTGTTATTCAATTTTGTAACTATTTTAGGTTTGTAGTTTTATCGATATAGTACTTGATAGCTCTGAATGCTATCTATTGATACACTTAGATATGAACCGTATTAAATTATTACAATTAGAAGTAACAATCGAGACAATAAGAGATAGGTAAGAGATAGCTTATAAGTTATTAAAAATGTATGAATTATTAATAACTGTATGTCTGTTTTTAATTAAATTTTGTAGTATACTTTCAACTCCACGAATTGGAATTAAAGCAAATCAAGTAAACATTGATAATGAATCATGTGTTAGTATATCTTTGCCATCAAAAGGCACCCAATCATTAAACAATTTTATAAATATATATTCACAAAACTTACAAAAAGTGGTTATTAAGGTATCTATTATTTAAAAATTATTTTTTTGCTTAGTGATTATAATTAATTGTAATTTTATAATAAAGGGTATAAGTGGAGTATCGCGTGCTGTAATTCACGAAGAAGATGATAATGGTGAAGTACGTTACAAATTACTTGTTGAAGGTGATAATTTACGAGAGGTAATGGCAACGCCCGGAGTAATAGGAAAACGATGTACCAGCAATAATACATTTCAAGTGTGGAATACACTCGGCATAGAAGCATCTAGGTAAAATCTGATATGGTGAATTATGTGACGTTACATACTAAAATTTACTGTGGAAATCTATTTTACCTGACTTAAGGGTTCTTGGAATTGACAGTCGAATTTTAACATTCATTAATATCTGCTATATAAGTGTGTCAACTTAAAATTTTTAATCAATCGTGGGAACTGAACTAAATATGTATTCAGTTAAGAGATCATGGATAATTTAGTTTTTAAATAACTCAGAAGTATAGGAATTTGTGTTGCATTATACCTTATGACTAGTTATGATTGTGGTATAGAACTTCTTGCATTTGCATGGTTTTTTTTCGTAGTGGTCGTAGATTATTCTAGGTTAGCTATAAATATGTTTTATGAAATGGCAAAATTAAATACAAAGTTTAATTTAGCATATTTTCAAATTTTTTATTTTTACTTACCTAGAACTGTTGGGAAAAATTGAATTCAAAAATATTTCTTAAAACAAGTTATCTCTGGGTATTTTTCTTTTCATGGTTATTCCGATCATTTTTATTGCAACAAGAAGTTCCAAACCCTATTTATGAATTTTAACAACTGCATGGTTATTATAATATGCTCATTATTGGAGTAAAATTTGAAACCACCATATTGAAAACTGAAACTATACTCTTTTTTAATTTAAGAATAAATCAGGTGGTCTCAAAGCCATGTCAAATTCAAATACCATAATCTGTTAGTCAATTTTCTTGCACAATATGATATATTCTTATTTTCTTATTAAAATAGAGTATAATCAGGGGGGCGAAGTGGCCGAGCCACCATCACCAGTTTGTACCTCGGCCAAGGGCTGCACTTCTCTTCGAGTAGCCACGGTGTCTGGAGAGAGAGGCCGCCATTCCCCAACCGGGAATGGCAGATACCTGCGGGTGCCCACTTGAAAATTCTACACACGTGTTTTCAAAAACCTACAGTACCCTCCCCCACAGTTAAAACCACCTAATGGCCTAAGTTGCCTCGGGTTAATTAATTAATTTTATTTTATACCTTTGATAAATATTAATTTAATAAATTAAACTTTTATTTCAATATTTTATTTTATTTGTTAATAATAAATTGCAGGGCAACAATAATATCAGAAATTGATAGTGTAATGGGCAATCACGGAATATCTATCGATCCTAGACATCCTATGCTGATTGCTGATTTGATGACAAGTCGTGGTGAATTATTGGGTATAACACGTTTTGGTTTATCAAAAATGAAAGAGTCTGTACTGAATCTTGCTTCGGTATGTTAAATATTTGATTTCAAATGTTCATTGTATTTTATAATTATACAAAATGTGTATTTAGTATGAATAATGATTACTTTAACAATCATTTTAGTTTGAAAAAACTTCTGATCATTTATTTGATGCCGCATACTATGGACAGACAGATACAATAAATGGCGTGTCCGAGAGTATTATTATGGGTATACCAATTAACTTGGGTACAGGATTCTTCAAACTGATTTATAAATATCCTTTTGATACATTCAAAAATATAATTTATCAATCATTCAATATTATCTTTAATTTATTACCTAATAAAGTGAAACCTTTCTACTAGGGATACCACAATTGGATTCAAATATATCTGCGATTAAAGAGTGTCTGTTTTTGTCACGGATATTTATTCTGGGGAATTTTTGTATTTATCAATTACTAAAATTGTTATGTTATAACTTATAAGTTTAAACTAATTATGAATGATTGATATTTTAAATGTATAATATACTTGTTGTTGAAAATTATTCCTTAATGTTTAATGTTTAAGACCAAAAACAAAACTATAGATTTTCCAAACCAAACATTTGTATTTGATGACCCAGATCTTCACGAAAAAGGGTGTTATTGGCAATGATTCAATAAACACATAATATACTTATCATTGACTTTAAATTATTTATTAAATTGTTGTGTTCAATCTGTGATATTAATTAATTTTTAATGTATTTTTATGTAGTATGTACATAAAAATGTATTTTTATTCTTGTAATAATTTAATAGTGAATAACATAATAATTTGATGAGAAATTAAATTTTTAGGTACTTAAATGTAATTAAATATCACAAAAATAACAATTCACAATAATGCATTATTGCCGTTTAGTATAAGGTTCTCTAAAAAAAAAACAACAGACAATTCCATTTAAAAATGTACTGTACATTTTAAAATATTAATTTATTTACATTCAGTCAACTATTAATAAAGTGTAAACATTTGATTTATATTAGTATTTATTAACTACTGTACGTTTGTTTTTATTTATACAGTTAAGTATAGATTTAACATAAATCAATTATGAACTTTATACTTAATATTGATAATCATCATTTTTGTAAACAATTGTATATTTTTCTAATTAGTTATGTTTATATTGTATATCATACTGTTATACCAACAATTATTTGATTGAAATAACTTATACTGTTAAACATGGTATTAGTAATAAGTAACTGACCATCATCGACTGTTAATGTTAAAACTATTTATATTTTCAAAACAATTAAAATTATGTTTTCCAATAATGTTTAATCATAATAATAATAATAATAATAATAATATGTTTTTAGTTGTCCGTGTGGTCACTGCAATATCGTCCAGAAATCTTCAAATTAACGAATAACGGTTAATATCTTATATTTTCTATTTATTGGAGATTTTTAAAAGTCGGTGACTAATTTTATATTAATAAATATTCTAATTTAATGTCAATGTCAGTCTTACCATTAAATTTTAAGTATCTAAACTAAACAAGAACACGTTTATTTGATTAAAAACCTATTTTTAAATAATTAGCGGCGCAAGCACATATCTAGGGGGGACAAATGTACCCTGTTTCTCAAAGGTAGACATTTTTAATCCATTTGGGGTGCTGAAAATGTATATTGACATATTATTCGTTGTGTATTTATTGCATCAAAAATAAAATAAATTTATAAATAAATTCAAATTTTCACAACATTTGATATTCACTTGATTTCTCATGTAGCGATTTTCTTATTTTGTTGTGATTCAAAAACGAATAACTGTAGATAAATGAAAATTTCACTGAATGTTTATTTTATCAATTCTTATACTTGATAACATTTTCAAAATATTTTGACTCTGAGCTGTTTACGGACAATTTCATATTTCAATTTTTTTTATTCTATGAATATTAATAAAATTTTATCTGTTGAGCCAAAAAGTGTAAACATTTAATACAAGGCTCCTGATATATTGTTACAATAGCAGTTGAAAAATAATAAAAGTACACAGGCACAATTTTTTTTTATAAACATTTTAAGAGCGAATTTTGTAAAAATTTATTAAATTTAAAATTTAATAATTATTTTGTAGTTAAAAATGTATAAAATATTCAACTTTTATATCTAAGGATTGAAAGTTTATAATAAGATTCCACGTAAGTAGTTAATTCTGTTACCAAAAAATCAAAAAAATACATAAGCACAGTTTATTTTTATAGTCATTTTAAGTTCAAATTTGGACGAAATATCATAAAAAAAACCTAGAATAACTATTTTAGTTATTTTTTTGTTATTGTATAATATTATTCGTGGGTACTTGAAACTTCTAAAGTATACTACTATATATCTATGATAGTATCAGGGTTTGTTGCAATACAGTATGTATTTAGAGAAATAACTCACCAGGGCTGCTATTTCCATTATTGTCAGGTAAGAGTTTAATAAGAAATATTAAAATATATATATAATTATTACTAATTCATTTAGGCGATTCTACGGTATGCCAGAAACAAGTCGATCGGTGTTTACAATTTAGTAAAAATAAACCCTGTTGCTGCTCGTGTTTTCCGGATGGTTCTTAATATTTTACCTATTATTAAACATTTAAAATAAATCATTATGGTGAATTCATTATGAAAATGTTTTACAGATACTTGCACTACCATACCTTCCGTCTGAAAGAATTGGCAGAGTTCCTTCGGTGGTTGATGGTGTTAATGCCATAATTGTATTCATAGTGCAGTATGAAGATGTTGCTTTGGCGTACCACCGATTTATTTATGAATACATTATTCCTTTTTGGATTCATTCCATAACTCCTAAAAGATTTACGGTATATAATCGCGATATTAGGACAAATAATTATTTAGAAAGTTACCATGCCGTACTCTTAAAAATCATAAGGCCTCATCCAAAAATATGGGAATTTATTGGTAAGTTTTCATTTAACTAGTTAATACCGGTTACTAATCAAAAGTCGGTCACATATTGTTTCTAATCTACAGACCAGTTGAGGTATTTAGAAAATACTTGCGAAGTGGAATTTAAACAAGCCTCAAATAATCTGAAGGCAAGTTTCATAGTTGATATCTATTATAAGAAAATAAAATATTCTTTAGTCTCATTTTTTTTTTTTTGATAATTTAATTTATACATAGATTCGGTTGGAACGATCTATGCATACGAGAGACCTAAATACCAGGATAATTAGAGAGTTCATTGATGATTTGATTGAAGACTATTCTGAAGACCGTATAATAACGTTTCTACGTAGAGCAGGCCATAGGATAGATGGATATATAACACAGCAAATTGGTCCTTATCCAGGTAATTCAAAATTTATTTTAATCGCAGAGATTCATCAATTTTTGAATATTTATATTTCATGTACTTTAGGAGAGCCAGACCTTCTTCTGCAAAATATATAATTATTTAATTGTTTTTTCATATGTGTATATATTATTGTGTTTAATTATAATTTTTAATACTATTTAAGATTTAACTACCTCATTTATTTGATACGAAACTGACACAAGGTAATAATTAATTAATAATTTTTTTTACTTTATTGTGATTTAATTATAGATGACTGTATTTAGTACTTTTATATAATTTACAGTCTTTACAATCTTGTATTACATTTTAAAACCTTAGATTTAAAAAGAAAAATGTTTACGAATTCTTAACTCAAAATAATTTGCTTATTTTTGTGATTTTTCCATATTTTGTCAATTTTTGAACTTTAAATGCTTAATTTTTAAAAACTAATTTTTAATATTTTTCAAATGCCATTGTTACAATATAGTAGGAGCCTTGTATTAAATTTTCAAGTATTTTTACTCAACAAATAAATTTTTATTGATATTCATAAAAAAAAAAACTAATAAAAGTGGAAACTGAAAATGTCCCTAAACAGTTAAAAATAAATCAAAATATTTTGAAAATGTTGTACATTAACAATGATGTACTCAAGGTATACTAATTGAAACTTACTGTAGAGCAAAAACACTTCTCAATGTATTTAGTATTATTATTTGTTTGTTATATTAGTATTTATAAGAATTATAGTATTTATTATTAAAACTATAAATAAATTGTATTTATGAATTTCAAAAAAGTATATTTTATAATTACCTTTTTCCAAAGTGAATCATCATTGAACATAGTAGTGTACGGATGTTGGGTGTAGTCTAGACTCTAGACGTCCAGTATTTCAGTGTCCAGAACTTTAGATCTCCATACCAAATAATTTAAAAATAAGCAGAGTGCAGACAGCTGCAGTCATTAGACTATAATAGACCTATTTTATTTTCTACAGATAAGTATACCTACTAATTGTATAGGCTATAATCTTAATAACCTAACCTAACTTAGGTCTTTTGTCAACAAATTATGCAATAGCTAATAGGACTATTTAAAGAGTTAAGAACAATATTAGTTATAAATAGCTTATTCAATAATTGTTATTATGAAGACCGTGTTATGTAATAAATAATAGCTAACGAATTATTCAGTGCAGCACATATTTAAAATGTCAAATTATTTCCTATTTAAAAAAAAAAATATTATGTTGGTAATGCCAACATTTCAGAATTATCGTACTCGACATTCTTATCATTTTTCGAACAACTACCCTGTACCCGGTGTATAACGCGTTATAAGTACCTAATGGATATTGTGATATGATTAATTTGGAATTTATTATAGGAACCTATTATTGGTCAATTTTCTTATACAATGATAATATATCATTGATTTCAATTTTAATACTATCCATTAGTTAACCCACTTGTAACCTGGTGTACACCAGAGCACCTTTTTTTTCAATAAATATATTCCCTAATAAATATATTGTTGCAATAGCAGTTGAAAAATTTTATAAATACATAGGTAGGTACGGTTTTTTTTATAAGAATTGAAAGTTCAAATTTTGACAAAATGTATCACATTTAAAATGTAATAATTATTTTGTTGTTAACAATATTTAAAATGTTTAACTTTTATACTTAAGGATTGAACATTTAAAACAATATTCCACATAAATAGGCTATATATAAATTACTTTATTCAATTTAATATCATCAAATATTATTAGTAATATACTAATATCATAGGCTTACTGACCATGTTCGCTCAGAATAGTTTTTCTTATACAATGATATATTTTACATTGATTAAAATTTAACACCATCCATTACAGTGACCCATTTGTAACCTACTGTTACAGCAGGATGACATCCAATTACCCACTTTATTTAGAATTTTTTTTTGATATTTTTAATGCATAGGTATTTTAATGTTTTTAAGTGCATTTAATTCACAGCCTTGATAATAATATACTTAAAAAGTTTCAAGTACCCACAAATAATATTTTTATATTACAACAAGTTACCTAAAATTGATAGTCTTTGTTTAAACTTTTAATTTTGTTCAAATTTATACTTAAAATATTATCCATAAAAAAATCTGTTTATTTATTTTTTAGATTAAAGTGAAAGTATATGAACTTTAGAATAATATAATTATAGAAACCTTGTTTAAAATTGTCAATCCTTAGCTATAAAAAAAAATTATTATGAACTTTGAACTACAAAATAATTTCACAATTCT